GTGTAATGTATCACAGTTGCTTACATTCTTATTAAATAATTTCATTTCTTAAACGCGTATCCCTACCATACTGCGAATCATAAGTCTTAAGATTTCGTGGGTGACAGCACGAATGACAGGAAATAATTCTTCACATAGTTTAAGTTCTGTATTTTCTTTTTGAACTTAGGTGTACCTGTTGTATTGCTTTCTGCATTTATGTTTAAGAATCAGGATTCCTCGAACGGTAGAACATCAGACTCAGTACCGAGGGTCAGTGGGTTCCAGCTCCTGTAGGTTCATTTGTATTTGTTGTTTCTGAGGTAGATAAAGGTTTTTCATTTTATGGGATGGAAACGGGAGACTGCGCGCTATGCTTTCCAGAATGGTGTTGACTGTCTTCAAAATGAGGCACTCGTCGCAGATGACATTGTAAAGAAGATCGCCTCCCAGCATAAACTTCATAAAAAGGAAAAAGCGATAAATTGTGCCGTCATGAAACTGTAAGGAAGACCGATGTTCCAACGTTAACTTTAAGGCTGCATGTGATATTCACTGCGTCGTCGGACGTTATAAAAAATGAATTTGAAAACAACTTCAAATACTATGGGATACCTGTGCGCCTTGTTTTCATTTCGGAACAAATGTATGCAGAATCTGTGTCTGTTTTTAAAGTCGACAGTAGGCTATTTGAGTCGTTCCGTACTAACTGTAGGGAGATACGCTTTCACGTTTGCTGTTCATCAGCATTTTCGACTTTCTTTCTCCGAAGCAGTGCTTTTCTCCCGCATAGATGAAGCTTTCATTCTAGATCGAGCGTGCAGTTCAATATATCCGACTTCTTGCTGATCTTGAGTACGGCGTGATATTATCATGCAGAGTAGTGCGGGGAAGCGGCACTGTCACTTGACCTCTTCCGTAGGCGACCCAGCTCCGAAATGGTTTTTTCCTTAACGTCCGGAAGTCAAAAGCTGTCATAAACCTATTTTGCCTAGCTGACGTACAAATGGAACAGGAATGTGAAACACTTTGGGAGGTTTACCACTAAGTCATGGCACTATCCAGCCGGAGCTAAATCAGAGGATCACTCTAGCTTCGAGTGCTTTTGGAAATTTGTTCAGTATTTGGCCTGACAACGGAATTATGAAAATCTGCCAGTTAAGTTGCTTCTGTTAGGTCAGTGTTGTTTTATGGCACGGAGACAGTTGTTATAACGAAGGAGCAAGAACGATGGTCGAGCTGCATTCTCCAGTGTTGGCTTAAACGCATGACGACGGCTAAATAGCAAGGCCACGTCTGGAATGACTCAGTATTTGGCCAAGTGACATGATTAAAATTGGAGATTAACAAGAGGAAGTTGACCCTTTTAAACATTCTGTAGAGCATAAGCCCTTTATTCCAGTGCAGGAGCTCTGGGGCTAGAAACAGGGCAGAGTCGACCAGCTGGGTAAAATGCAACGTTGAAGAACAAAGTATGCGCTGATCTGCTTTCGAAGAGAAATGTTTCCTTCTGTTATGCAGTAACGGTGTCTTGTAGCAAAAGTGTTGAAAACTTGGTGATACATCGCGCATCACAATTCAAAGACGTTTTGTTTATGAAAACGGTTCATGATAAAGACCTCGGAAATCATGCATAGGCAGACAACAAATTTTCATGTTTTCTTCCTTCTCGTAAGGATACGAAAGTGCTGAAACGAGTAGTACCTCTGAGCTTTGGTTTCGAGGAAGTCCGAAAACTGAATTTAAAAAATGTTATTTCGTACATCGAGGTAACTTCGGTATGATAATTTATTGACAAACTGTTAATTTTCCGTAACGAAGGTTCTGTTGTTTTTTAGCACTGTGCACGACAGAATTGTTTTATGCATAGAGTCGTTTCATGTTTAAACGATCTCCTAAGCTCTGTAACCAAGAGGACGACATGCCTACACAGTGGAAATCAAGAGAATTAACGAGAATTTTGTTTCACAAAGTGTTTTTTGGGTCAACATCGGTGATGTCCATTTATTATATAATTAGTATAATGGCATTTCATGGAGTTTACCATCCTCAAGATCGAGATGTACAAAGATCTTGCATCCCATGCTGATACACGAGTCGCACTTGGTGTAGGTACTCCCAGGTCGAGGAGTGTCATTTGTGTCCGGTTCCATATTCTGTTGTGAAAAGGTGTAAAGTGTTATTAAAGCATATGTAATTTTTAATTAATATGAGATCGTTATTGGAATTGTACCGCATAAATATAACAGCGTTGGTTCAGACGCCATAACGAATTAATTGGAGCGCAACTCTTCCGAATTCATATTTCTCGGCATATTGTACTCCCTCCCGCCCACTTAATTATTTAGATGTTTTTCCGTAGTGAGAAAAATGTATTGTGTGTTTATGTTTAAAGACGCCGTCTTCAGCCTTGAGATACTGAAACCGAACACTCATATATGTAAGTGCATGAAAATTTGTAGATTACGTTCTGCTTAGCACGAGGTCAGCATTTTCCTCATTAAGTGATTATTATTACTTTTTTGTTTGGGCTGATTCCATGGGTCTTTCCTATTCAGTTTAAGTTATCGAATGTTGGCAGATTGCAGTTGTTAACGAAGGTTAGCGATATTACTTATTTATCACTGGTGTATAGTCGCTTTCATTGCTTCTGTTATCACGTCAGAAGCTAAGATGTTCTTTTTCTTAATCCGCGGTCGTCTCTAAATTGGCAGTGTTCAGTGTTCCCACTGTTCTAATGCATGGTGACTATTTTTTTCTCTCTCTCCCAACTTCTTGTCATATAGTTGTGATTTGTTGTTTCTGCTTTCAGCAGCCCTTATGAACAGGAAGCCGGGCGGTACCATGGGCGGACCTTTTGTTTCGCCGCAGCTGAACAGCAACCTTATCCAACTGACTGGATCAGCGTCGAACAAGATTCCTGGCTCACTGTGCGACTTTACTACCAACAGTTCGACTGCCAACGATTTGGATGTTTTGGCGCAGGCATACAACGGCGTTCATCAGTATTCATGTTAGCCTATTTTCGTTACTCTTTTTTTTTCATTTTTCTGATCTTCGTTTTTATTAGCTGCATTTTCTCGGTCTTATGGCCAGACCGTAAACTTCGGCGTTAAACAGCAGGAAGGTGAGTCTGGTGATGGCAGCACTGATCGCGCATTTCTTCCTCTAACTCATCCGTCTAATTATATGTTCTTTTCAGGACCAGACGGCGCGAATCTTTTCATATACCATCTGCCGCAGGAGTATAGCGATACCGATTTGATTCAAACGTTTTCTCCCTTCGGGAACATCTTGTCTGCTAAGGTGTTCGTCGACAAAGAGACGAGGCTCAGCAAGTGTTTCGGTAAGTCAAGCAGTCGGCCACCTGCACCAGTAATGCAGGCGTTGTTGCTTTCAACTCCTTGTTTAAATCTTAAGACAATGACGCCTGCATGCTTTGTCCCCATATGTCTAGCAGTGCAATAGTAAATTATTAATTTAATGCATGTGCTAGATCTGTATGTTTGCTGCCCACGTGTTTAAACTATTTACTAAACTCCTGTTAAATATTTTAAGCAAGAAATTGGTTGAATAGTGGCTGATCGAAGAGCTTGATTTCGCCAAATCTTTTCGTCGACATTCGACCACTTTCATAGTGTTGATTTAGCTGCTCGAAACGAATAGGAGGTACCGGTTGCTCATTTACATGATCTTTGTCGACTGTGAAAAAAGCAGTTGACATGGTGGAACATGAGGCAGTCTACCGTACATTAGAAAAGAATAAATTAAAAAAGATAATACGAATTCTATAAGAAGTATAAACAAGTTGCAGTTATGAGGATTTAGTTGTTTGAAGATCCAGTTTAAACCAAAGTTTATGGATTGTCCAAAGCTGTTTAACGCATTTCTTAATTCAGCGTTCTAAAAATGAAACGGAATAGACGATTTTGAATCAGCGGCAGATTCATCAATCGTCTTCGACTTGCTGACGACAGGGGACAAAGGCAAAGGATATGGAAGCAATTTTAGCAAGCCAAGGAACGAATAAACTGATCTTTAGATGAACAGGACAAAAAGTTAAATGATGAGAACGAATTCGCACAATCAGCTACAGTTATCATAAATGATTACGAAGTATAAGAAGCGCCCAGTATGTCTACTTGGAACAGCGAATTCATTACTTTGTTCCAAAGTTGATTTGACGTCGAGCGACATGGGGTACACACAGAGTAAATGCTAACATTTTTGATAACGAAGTTATCAATTGCGGTCGATAAGTACATCGCATGAAAGCATGGTATTGTCCTCAGCTGAGCGTCGTCCAAATAATAATGAATAATTGTTAAGAGTGCAGCAGCGCGTAGTGGAAATTATGATGGTTAAAATTTCCATCAGTGAAAGACAGAGAGCGAACAAATGAGCTGACGCACGTAAATACAGAACGTCTTATCAAGTTCAGAAGAAAGCGATCA